TTTGTCGTAGTAAACCAAATTGTTGCGTAATTGATGTAAATTATACGAAATCAACGAAACATATGATAACAAAAATTGTTTACTGATTTAACAAGTTTGATAAATATTTAATTTTGAAATTTATTTGAATTTGGATTTTATTTTAATCAAAAAGTTATTATAATTTTTGTGACTTCTAAAATTTGATGTTTAGAATAATTGTCAATTTTTCTTCTTATTAATACAAATTTATTAAATAATTCAGTAAAGATTAGAACCTTGATTGAGACAATGATTAAATATTAACTTCTTACTAGCGAAATTTTTGACATTACATTTTTATTACAAGTATATTTTTAGTGATTAATTTTTTATATGCAAGAACTTCATCGCTGTCAGATGAACGTTTAGTGTATGCGTGGTTTGTACCGATAAGAAGTCGAAACTATTTTCATCATAGAGAGTTATTCATCGTCTTTTCGTAAAGTCCATTTGCGAAGTCTAGTATTCTGTTGAAGATTCTTATTACAAGATTAGAATTAATTCCGGATTTTCTGAACAGTTTTTGAAAATAATAATTTTTTCACTGAGTCAATGATAATTACTATATATTTTAAAGTCGCGTTATGAAATGAATTAAATGATATATTGAGATATACAATTTTCATTGATTTCTTAATTTTAATACATAATTTTAATATATGTTCTTCCATTAATAATAATGTTAGTAACGGTCTTAACTTGTCTTAATGACAATAAGACTTCAATATTATATGATAAATATGGATATAATGACTATTTGTTTAAATCCATATTATTAAATAAACAAATGCAAGTTTGTACAAATAATTGATTTGTTTTTTTGATGATTACGAATGTGTATATTTAATTCTCTAACTGTTAATTGTTATTTTTAAAATCGTTTTTAGGTACTGGACATCCCACAATTCTAGATTATTATCTAATTGATCTAATTAATCTAATAATAATATATATAAAAAAGTGTATATACAAATATATATATATATATTTGTATATACATATATACTTTTCTATAATAAAATATATGTGTACGCGCGCGCATAAATTATGAGATTATTATATTCAACAAATTTTGATTTTTGTCTTCTTAGATAATTTTATCATGCAAAATGCTTTATATCTTTTTGATAATGTTATCATGAATTATGAATTTAATTAAAAAGTGTGGATACAAAAAATTCGAGATGAGTCGAATGGGTACTCCCATTAGCGGGATGTTAATAATTAAAATTTGTAAAAAATGCAGAAAATTATTAAATTTATATAATAAATTTTTCAGTATAAAATAGATCTTTAAAGTCCCACTATGGGTTCGGCTTATCTCGAACAGTTGGTACCCGAGAAACTTTTGTACCCATACATATAAAAAAATTACAATAACGCATGTATTTTATTATTATTAAATGTATTCCTTCGTAAACACTATTCCATAAAAAAATCATTCTATCCACTTTTTTTTTTTAATAAAAGATGATTTTTTAGTAATGGTAGAACATATTTTCTTACATATGACTTTTAATATTATGTTAAAGATGTGATAAAAATAGTAATGTTTTATTATAATTAACATGCTGCCAAAATTATTACAATCGTAAATGATCTATAGAAGATTCGGAATTCATTCTTCTGTAATAAGATCGTTGATTTGACGGATCATTTTTCTTTGTAAATGGATTTTATGAATTTGACATAGAATCAGAATATGTTAAGTTCGCTCTCCATCATGAAGATTATTCTTCTTCTGTATCAGATAATAACCAGTATATTATGAAGAGATGACTGTGATGTGGTTAAATTATTAGGCCAGTTAAACGATTAAGATAACAGATAAATACATATATTAATTTTTTATCGTGTTATTGTTCGCGTTAGATGAAACTTAATAAATTTTAGAATCGCAAGTTAACAATAAAAAATAACGATCTAATTATTGTTAATATTTCATTGCATTTATTAATATTTCGTTAATCATTGATTTATTAAAATTTATGTTATCGTATTTTCGATCAGTTTTCGTATAATACCGTATTAAAATTTATATTAAAATTTATTAATTATGCTAATATTATTATAGTAATATAATATCTATATTATATTTTA